GTAAAATGAGAAAAAATTATTAAGGATAAATTATTGACAATATGTGCTATCAAATGTTAAATAGTCGAATGAGAACGATGAAATCTCAAAAGTAGATAAAATAAATGAAAGTAAATGAGAGAAATTGGGAGCTCTGTAAAGATTGATTCAATAATTTAGTTGTTAAATATAATTATTTTAAATTTTGATTATGTTTAATTAATAATTCTAAGAATTAAAATTTTATCTACTTTTTCCAAGAGTACCCTTGTTAGAAAAGATTATATAATTAAAAATATTCATTAATATTGTTATTTTATATTATTGATTTTTAGGTTCTAAAATATTCCTCATATTTGCAGGGTTATTTTAAGGATTGTTATTCATTCTTATTCTAATGTAATTTTGATAATATAGTTCTTATTTTCGCGCATATCAAATTTTTTAGCAACTATTATAATTTATTATTTATCCTTTACTTTGAAATTGAGAACTAACAACCTATTAATTGTAATGCATTTAACTATACTTAATTTGAGCCAAATAATATTTTTAATAAGATTATATAATTATAATGAGTCTTTGATTTTATTAAAAAAATTCTCAAATCTTCTAAATCTTCTTGAGAGTTTTAGTATTATCTAATGTTGTAACATCACATTAATAACCACTTTTTACTTATACTATATTTCTTAAGGATTTTTTATCATAACAATTTTAGAATTTTAGATTTGATCTTAAATAAATGGTATATCAATTTAAAATTAAGCCATTCATCATAATATGAATGTATACAGCAACTTTTAAGTTGAAGACATCAGTTGCAAAAGTGAAATGAAATTAGATTATAATTATCTATTGAGAGTTATTAAATAATAGATCAAGATTTATTTAATCTTAAGGATTGAAATGTACAAAAGCCAATTATTATTATAAAATCAATTAATCCAACTCTCAAAATTAATCAAAGCAACAACAATCTAATAAATTTTTGATTTTGTATAATTTCTTTTAATCTTCTTGATTTAAGCAAGAGTTAGCTTAAATTTTGTGTTAAATAAGAAGATATATTCTTTAAGAGCCTTTGTATTTTGCAACCTAAGCTTCTAAGGTCTCCTGATCATTTTCTCTTTAAACTAAATATTATTCAAGAGTTAGTTTATTTTGACTAATATTTCCTTTTACTATTCAAGTTAGATAGCAAATCTATCTCTTATGGGATGCTAATATTATCTTAGAAAACATGAGCATTTAAAAGTTCTAAAAATAATGAGAAAATATGTGGTACTTCTTAATAGACTTATAAATGATGAAATTTATTTCTTCTGTTAAATTCTTTATAGAATTCAGTTAATTCTTCTTTTTATTAATTTAGTTGTTGAGTTTAGAGAGAATAACTTCATTTGATGCATAAAATTTAGATTAATTCAAAATAGATTTACCCAACCAAATGAATGAATTTAGGCAAGAGCCTTTACTATTACGACAATAAAAACCCATAGACTATCACTGTAAATGTTTAATGTGTCTTTTTCCGATGCTTATCTTATTGTTATATGAAAGATTTTCATCATCTGTTATAGTCCCATAGATTTGTTTCTTAATCTTCATCTAATTTCCAAATATATTATAACTTGTTCAGGGTACATATTATACTAACCTGGATTCTTTATTTTGGTTAATCTTATTTTATTTTAAATCATTTTAGTATCATTATAAAATGATTCAATCCAATAATTTTATATGAAAATTTTAAATTATTTTCAATCCAACTATTCTTTCTTTTATTCTGTTTCTTCCATTAAATAGTCTTACATTTCATTATTTTAAAGAAATTTAATCTCTTTTAACTCTTAAACATTTATGAAATCTTTATAGCCTAACTAATTTAAATAGTTATTCAAATACATATAAAAAGATAATTTTGAATATATTGTATAATTATAATAATTTAAAAGGAAAAACTTCTTGAAAAAGACAAAGGAACATTTTATACAATTATCCAATAGCAATTTAATTTATTTTCTCTCTAGATAATAAAACTTTATAAAATATTGCAAATATTTCTAAAAAATATCATTATGAAATTATAAGTTTTTAAAATCGTTTTTAGAAATATTGTATTATTTGCCAATAATATAAAAACAAAGTTAATTTATTCAAATTAATTGCAAAAATATTGAAATGCTATATTTACTATAAAAAGAACCAAGAATAATTACCTCAATCTGAAATAAAAATGCATAAATTTTATATAAGTGATTGATATTAGTAGACGGAATATGAAAAATTAAACTTAATAAAAATATAAAAAATTTTCAACCATTTTTATATTTATTTTAAGCTAAATAAAATAGGTTTAAAATTAAAATATATTGACTAAATCACTTTAAAGGACATTTATTTTAAATTCTTTATAAATTAACTATTTTATAATATTTAGCTAAATCAATGAAGTTAAGATATCCATGTATCCATAATGTACTGAGCTCTATAAGTATTGAATAAGTTCAATATATATGAGGCCATGCATATAAAGATATTGAGACATTTTGAAATTAGTATCTATTAGTTTAAATAAATAAAAAGTTTATTCTACTCAAAAATTAAGAAATATAGCAGTATCAATAAAAAATTTTTATTATCTTACAACAACTTCTTTCTTGTAAAGTAAATACTCATTCATTCTATGGAATGGAAAAATTTTACCATTGATTTAGTATCACATTATTTACCTATATATTTGTTGAATGAGTTTGATTAGATGATAATGCTAGTTGCTTTTTTTATATAAATAAAATGTCCTTCTATTTAAGTTTATTTAGTAATTGTATTTACAACCATAATATTAGGTATAACAGGTTAATAATGATAATTTAGATTCTCTCATATGAGTAAATTACTTACTGAATATTCAAAATATTCTCTCACAGTTGGATACAAATTTAATTCTTTTTACTTTTCTGAACGCAAAATAAGAACTCTTAATCACTTGAATTCAAGAAAATAAAATCATTTTGTGTGATTTAAAAATAATCTAACACTTGTTAGCAATTTAGAAAGTTGAAAACTTAAAACTTATCATGTATTTTTAATAAAATTCTAGGTGAAGAGTAAATCTAATCGAAATCTTTCATTAAAAAGATATCAGTTAGGAAAGTTGTTTTTGTTAACATAAGATTTGCTGATTAGTTATATCTATATAAAATAAATTTTTATGAGAAAAATTCTAAATTTTTACATGAAAGATATACATTAATTTCTACTATTTCATTTCATTTAACCTTTACAATTTTTCAATAGAGAAATAATTATAAGTACTCACTAATAAATAATGAAATTAGTGAAGGAATTATTCTTATTTCGATATTTTCATTTGAAAACTTGTTTTAATTTATTCTGTAGAAAAATTAAGCTTTTTTATTAATACAAATTTTATAGATTTTTGCTATTGTAAGTCATTAAGCATCTTGAATACTTCGTTAATACATAAATTTCTATAAATTTTAATATATAATTGTATAAAAAATATTCATTGAAAAAATGAAAATAGACAATCTAAGCCAAGAAAAATTACAAAAATATTATGAATTTTAAATTATCTATATTTAAGGTTTATAAATTTCTAAGTTGAAATAATAAAAGGAAATAAATTATTAATTTTCACCTCTTCAATTATTCTAAATAAATTAAATTCATAAGATTTATTCAAATTCAGCAATCATAATACTAAAAATATCCCAAAAATATAATCCTTTCCATTTGTTTATTCAATTAAAATAATCATTAAATAATGAATCTTTTAAGTATATTCATCAAAAAGGGAGAAAATTCCTAAAATATCAATAATCCATAATATCATAAAAGGGGATATATTGTAATTATGCCTAACTATCTCCTAAAATTATTTAAATTTTAATCAGGATATAAATTATGAATAATAATTTGTGATAAAATTAAAATTAATCTTTTTTCTCTCAAATCTAAATGTTTTCAAATTTTGATTGAACAATGTCATTTCACCATAATAAAATAATTAAATTAACTTCAATCTCTATATTTAATATTATAGTAAACTCATATTTAATATAATAGTAAATTCATATTTAATATATTTATTAAAGAAAAGTCATCCATCTTATATGATTATAATTTTAAAAAAATAGATTTTGAATATTTTTAAAAAAAAAAAAAATCATTATTTAAACTTAAATTTTAATCTGATATGAAACAAAATATGAAATCTTTAAGAAAGATTTTTTTAGAGAATAGAAAATAAGGTCTAAAATTCATTTCTAAGGGTTAAAAAGGGAATGATATATTAATTTATTTAGTCATTTTCGACTAATGTATTTTCTTATTTGAATTAAAACAGACTTTGTATCCCATGTTATTAAATATTCTCCATTTAAACTCATTGTACCATAAAATGTGTCAGTATTGAAATTGATTATGTTTTCTAAATTAAACTAATAATTGTATTCTTATTCTCTATCAAAAGAGATTATATTAAGGTAAGTTCCATTTTTATCTAACAAAACATTTTAAAAAGAATTATATAACATTGGAAAATTGGTGGTACAACCTTAACCTCCACCTTTCACTAATAATTATTAGACTTAAACATATAATTAAGTTCTAGGGTCTAATTAATAAATTAATAAATAGTTATTTGGTTGGGGAAAAGTTGGTTAAAAAGAGAATATTAAATCTGATAAGTAAGATATTCTATATCCAAATCCTAAATATTATATTCTCTGTTTGAGAATCCAATTTTAAGAAAGGCATTTTTCGATTACTAATATTAATCCATCTTTGCCACAAGATAAAAATTGATTCCCACTATTATTAATAGACAATCCAAAAACACATTAAGAATGTTCTGTGATCTTTTAAGAACATGAAAATTATGAAAATGAGTTATTATATGATGACCAAATCTTTATAGTGCTATCATTACTACCTGAAATCACAAAATTTTCAGTAGATTTTGGCAATGCTATACAATTAATAAATCCAGAATGAGCACTTACTTTTAATAAGTATTTTCCATTTTACAATAGATTTATAGACCATAAAATAAATGAGCCATCTCTAGAACCTGAAATAAAAATTTAGTTCCATTTAAAAAAGTTTAGAGTTAAAATATAGTCTTTATGATTCCATAGAATTTTCATTTATTTAATTATTCCTTCTTTAAATTAAAATACAAAGATTTATTGGTCAGATCCTGCAACCATATAAGTGTTTTAGTAATTAACCCCAAATGATGTTAAAAATTGATATCTAGAAATTTTTTCCATTGTATTTAAACTATAGATAAGTTCATAATCAAATTATTTGCTATTATTCATCTAATTTTACTAGCTTATTGAACCCTTACATTAGCCCATCTAATGTTTTATTTTTATTAAAATTATACAATTATTAATTATTTTTTTTTTTTATTTGATGTTTCACAAAAAATGAAAGAAATAAAACAGTAACTTAAGTTTCAATTACTTAAAAATATTAATATATTCCCTTTCAATTTTATAGAATTAACATGTCTTGAAAAGTTTATTACAATAGACTTTTGGAGTTCCATTAAATTGACTTGAAGAAGTAGACTTATTTAAGTTGTATTTAGTTGCTATTCTTGAAAACTTCTGAGTTTTAAACTTAAAATGATTATAAATTCACATGCATTACAGGAAATATTCTAACCAAATATAAATAAAGATTACAATTTTATGAATGTTTTGGTTAAAACAAATTATATTGAATTTAATTCAAACACTTATTAAATGGTAAAAGAGAAATTATTGCCTTGAATATGAAAAATCAATAGAATTCGTTATGCAAATTTAAAGATTAATTCTTCAATTATCATTTCATACCTTTTATTAACACAATTATAATAAAATTTTAATTTACCATATCATAGAGTTTGATTAGATTTGTTACTATTTTAAAGTTTTTGACATAAATCAAATAAATAAATAATTATAAAACAATTCTTTCTTTCAACTAAAATATATAGAAATTTTTATGTCAACTAAAAGATAAAAATTAATAATTGCAAAATTATTTGACCATTTATAAATATAATAATTATATGGTAAATGATATTTTGTAAGAATAAAGTCTCGATTTATACTTATAAGTAAATAATAAGAGAATATTTATTACATCAAGGTTTTAGCAATATATAGATTATATTATATCAATTGAAAATAAGGCATATTAGTATGATTCTGATGAAAAATAATGAGTTATCATGTAAATAAGTAATTATAAACAAAAAATAATCTTTCATTGTTGAATTAATAAAAATATTTACATGTATAATCCTAAAATAAATTTATCAAAAACGAAAAGATGGAAGGTCAAAAGAGAAATTAGCACTTCCAATAATTATATTTTATGACTTAATGACAAAATTACCAATTTAATTAAAATAGGTATAATACACCGTAAATATATAACCTGGATTAACAGTTGTTTAAATTTGTCAAATCTATTCAACTGAGTAAAATTAGAATACTTCTACATAATTGAAGAATATTCTGCTGTAAATCAAATGATTTTGGAACTTAAAATAAGAATGTTTATGGAATTATTTAAGAATTATAGGAAGCGAAAAAAGAATATTAAACTATGGTTAAAATTGAATAAGACTCTCCAATATCAAATATTTAAAAAAGATGAAAATTGGTTGTTTGAATCCATTTAATAATTAAAAATAATATTTGAATACATTCAATCCTTATAGGTATTTCTAAATTAATTTTGAAGATTAGAATTATCTCATATGATAAATAAAAGTTATTTAACAGCTCATAAACTCAAAAATACTAATGAGAATTATGCTGTTTTATACTCTTATGTTAGTAAAATTATTAATCTTGGAGCTATCTTATTAAATTATAAGCAAATGATTTCTGTAATAATTTATATCTTAACACATTTGACATATATTAATTCTCCAACAAATGTAGTATTGATTAATTAGAATATAAATAATTGGATTAATTATAAAATAAATAATAAACCTGATAAAGTTAATTATAAATCATTTTAGATAGTAATCATCCAGATAATATGGCTCCAAATAAAAAGTTTGAAATGTTAATTACTTCAGATGAATTTAACAAATCAAATGCTATTTTAAGCCATACAAATAATGATGCATTATAACACATAAAATATTGTGCCACTTTAACTTTCATTCCAAAATTTAAGAATATCCAATAGAAGATGCTACTAATCATATATAAGTGGTTTAAATTTGCTTTAATAAGCAAATATCTAAAAAGGAACTTTTCTTTTTTTTCATTGATCATAGTGGTGAAAGAATTATTCAAAACCCTGAAGACTTTTTATTTAACGTATTCTTATTTGGTAATAAAACAATTAAAATGTTTGATACTTCATAACCTGATAATTAAAATTTATTAAATAGGCAATATCATAAGTTTAAGCTAAATTAGGTGGTACTGATATTCTTTAAGCATTGGAAAATGGTTATTTATTATAAGAATTATTCAAAAAATTAAAATAATTAAGAAACACATAATGCATTTGTATTAACTGATGGAGAAGATTCTTCAGATTAATAAAGATATAAATTCTAAAGTTATTGATTTTTTAGAAGATTCACTAACTCTATATTTAATGGATTTTCTTAACACACTGAAAAAGTTACATAAATTATTCCTAATCCTTAATCAATTACTTTATTCAAGAAAAATTAAGAATTAACTATACAAATTTTATTTTCAAAAAAAAGGAAAATCTAGAATTCAAAATAAATTGTAGAATGACTATTTTCTGAAATTAGCTGATCATAAACTAATAAAGTATTACGAAAATTCTATACAACAAAATGATTCATTTTTAGATAAGGATGGATCAAAAAAGTTTTAATTACTAAGATATTATAAATTTATCTTATAGAATCAAATTTCATGTTCCAAACTTGCTTTTGTTTGCAAAGTATGCCAAATTGAAAAAGACCTAAAACTATTGATTAAGAAAGATCTCAAAAGTAATATTTATGAATAGAAGTAAAATAATAGTTCAGATTGTTAAGTTAAAACAAAAAAAAGCATGAGTAAATTGTGCCTAAGATAAGCTGATACTTTTAAATAAGAAATGCAAAATAAAATATGTATACAATAAGAATGTGAATAAATGCTTTTAATTAGGAGATAGATCGTTTAGTGCCTTATTTATTATCTGATAATGAATTACAGTAAGAAAAAATAGACACTTCATTCATCTAACAAGATAAAAAATAAACTAATAAATTTCTCCCTAAATAAAGTATCTAATGTATTCTGTAGCCAAAAACACTTGAAAATGATATCATTTGTTGAATTAGTCGATTGTATTTAAGCAAAATGGAATCTTTTAGTTAGAAATTCATACTGGAGAATCACTAAAAGTTTGTCAAATAAATAAATATTAAAGATTAATGTTGGTAAACAATTCTTTCTCTATGTTATTTAGAAATTTTTTATTAGGGTTCGAAATACTCATGGCAATTAATTTATAATAAAGCAATAAATTACTTAAAAAAGTAAGGAATTAATAAATTGTTGATGAAAAAAGAATTCATCTAAGAGTATAAATAAATCTTTTAAAAAAGCAAAATATAAATTGGAATAATATTAAAATAAGATCATTTAATTATAATCACATTAAAATTTAATTTTAAAAATCAAATTAAAAGGTAAAGAATTTATTATTCAATAAAAATGAAACTTGATAAATATTTCAATCATCAAACTTATCACATTCAACTACTAAAGTATCAGCAATAAGGTCTTTAATTGTGTTTATATCATAATATTCCTTGAAGTTATAGAACTTAGAAAGAGATTTAACTCTGATTTATAATTTAACAAAAATTAACTATTCCCGTTTTATCAATAAATTATGATCATATTAATTCAAATAATTTGAATAAAGTTTTTTAATAAAAATTACTTTCCAATCAGTTCATATGAGTCAAAATCTGAAACTTTTAACTTTGAAAGCAAATTTGGTCTTGTGTCACATAAAATTATTATCTATATCATACAATTAATTTATGATTTGTGACAATTAATTTTTTCAATAAAAAATGAGAATAAGACTTCCTAGTTTGAAATAGGTAATTATTTAATTATATCAGCAATCAAATTCTGGTCTGATCAAATTTGAAATTTTTTTTCTAACCCTTCAAGAATTTGAATTAACATTTCTTATTTCCTATTGATTCAAATCATGTTTTAAAATATTGCAAATAAATTATGTACGATACTTCTTAATCATTTACGTACATCCGCAATCATTAAATAATTTCATAAAATATTAAGAGATACATAATTAGTCTGAGTGGTTTGAGATTTTATTGATATTTATTAGTCTTTATAATTATTTCTATATTATTTAGATTTTAATATAGTATTTTATTAAAAATAATTTATCAATCTACTTATGATTTCTAGTTATTTTTTTATATTATAAATGTTATAAAATTGAAAATGTCTTATTTTGTCAAATTTTAGATTTATTAAATGAAACGAAAATTTTAATTTTGTCATCTTCTTTTACTAAATTAATATAGCCATAAATAAATTAGTTTTCCTCCAAATGATATAAAATATTGTTATTTGTTCTAAGATCTTTCATCTTCTAATATTTAATTTATAATAAAGATTCCTTATAATTATTTTTCACATGATTCCTAATTAATATTAGAGTCAGTATTTATGCATAATTATATTTATGTAAAAATTATAGCAATTTCTGCATTAAGATTTTTTTCGTATCAAAACAAAAAATCTAGAATTTAATGGAATTTTATAAGCAAAAATACAATAATTAAAATAATTCTTTCCTTTGTGCATATGTATCCTTTTCTTTAGTATTTCTCGTGATACTCATAATATATCTAATAATTTCATTTTGGTTTTTTATCATACATGTTCTTCTTTTTAATAATTTTATGTTCCTTCAATTCCTTTTCTGTCTATAAGGTTTCATAAAACCTATATCATCTGATGATTTTTTCTGTTCATCTTTCACTAAGTTCAATTCATTTTTTAATAGCATCTGATTAATGGCTTTTATAAGATTAACTTAAATTATTCATTTATTCCTAATTATTTTTTATTTCTGGTTTTTAAGGTTATTAAAAAGACGTTAGTAGTTTCATCAATACATAAAATTATCTAAAATTTTCTTTTTAAACTCTTGTGTCAAAATTTTTTTTAATTTTCATATATTCTTTATTAATATTATATTTTATTATTTCCTAGAATGAATTTAAAAAATTTACCTGTTTCATTCTTGCACATTTTCTTCAAATATTTTCTAACAATTCTAAATTCAATTATTTCTCAACAAAATTTTTAAGTTTTTCTAACTAACATTTTTCGACTTTTTCAAAATGGAAAAAAAATAAATGTTTTGATTCAGATTAAAAAATTTAATTTTAGAATGTTTATTCATAGAAATAATGTGCCTCAACTTATATTGAATTTTTTAAATCTTATAATAAATTTTGATAAAGATTTTTGTAATGATTAGGTATAATAAGATTAATATTAATACTTAGGATTATTAATTTTTGAATTTTATCTGATAAATTATTTTTATTAAAAATACAAATTTTATACACTACTTAGCAAATTATTTATTATAAAATGAATAACAATTCTGCATTCATTTTCTTTTCGTTTACATAGAAATATTTAAATAATATTATAAATACAATCTACATAATTCTAATTGTTGTAATTAGTTTTATTTACTTAATAAATTCTAACATTATTTCAAATAATTTAAAGAAATTTATGATGAAAATATTGTAGAATAATCAAAAATTCGACCAAATATTTTAATAATAGAACATCTTTTAATTTATTCTCAAATTGTTGATTGTATATTTATTTAACAATAAATAACCGAAAATTAAGACTTTTTATAAATGAAAAAAATTATACATAAATTATTAAGAAGATTGCCATCCTTCCAAGAATTAGTTGATAAAGTAATTTTTAACTTATGTATCACTAATATATATAATAAGATTAAATTTGTAAGAGGAGCGCCTCACTGAATATTTTTTATATGGATGGATGCTAAGAAAATTCTACAAATTCCTGTTTATTCAGACAATTCTTGCTCAAATTAAACTTTACTCAATTGTTATAATAATAAGCTATTATTCAAGTTTATCTGTTGCAATAGCTAAGATCTCTCAAAAAGGATTTTTGGAAATAACAAAATTTTAATTAAACGAATATCCGAGAATGTGTTCTTGTAATAGTAATGAATTACTTCAATACAAAATTTAATTGAAATCGTTAAATTCACAAGAAGGAGATGGTAATACTGAAATTTCATGAATGCTTAATTAAATGTTATAATTTAGGATTCATCTGGTCTGGTAATTATTTAATCAAATATTTTAAATTAAATAATCATTGCAATAAGCTTTTAACGAAAATTGTTAATTTTTAATTCCTAATCAACTCAAATTCATATTTATATTGATAATAATTGAGTATTAAGAAACTTGTATTTTATGATGGAGTATTTTTTAAATTATTTAAAGATATTATAAGTTAATTAGATAAAGGGCTATCTTGGATAATTATTATATTATCATTAATTGCCAGAAAAAAAAACTTGAGAGGTTTAATGGATGATTAAAACTAATAAAAATTAATGATTTAATAGAATTAAGATCAATTTATTTATTTTTAGTTAATCAAATTATCAAATAATTTATTTATTCTATCCATTATTCAATGGGTAATAATTGTTGCGACTTTAATCTAGATTATAACAATATGGAATTGAATAATTCAATATAGTAAGGAAATGAGGCTTAAAATAATGATAATTAGATATCTGATACAAAAAATTTTTATAAAATAAATGAAAATTTGGAAAATAATTCTCCTTAAGAAAATGCTCAAAAAATTCAAATTACTAGATTAGTGGCTACATCTAATAATAGAGATTTATTAGAATCAAAGGAAATTAATCTCTCACAATAATTGAAGAGCTGTAGTAATTGCACTGTAAAAACTCTAATTGAAAGTAATAAAAGTTATCCACCATAAGAAAATTGAAAACAAAATGAGAATTTTCTTTTGACAAGAAGTGATTTATTACCAAATACTTAAAGAATATGAGATATATAAAATTTAATATTAATTAAACAATGAAATTAAAGACTTGTGAATTAAAGAAGTAAAACACAACATTGTCTATCTAACACAGTCAAATTATTAATATTCATTTATTGAACATCTTCTTTCACTATATATTCCTATGCTAATTATACAGATATGATCATAAAACTAAAGACTTAGTTAAAGACTTCAAAACTTTATCATAAACAGAATTATATATTTATTCTAGGGGAATTTTTTCATACAAATTTATTTTATTTTGAAATGCATAAATAATACACAAATAATTAATAAATATTCTCATTAACTTTCTCCTGGAAATAAAATCTATTTCTTAGTTAAAATTTAATCTTCTTTTGTAAAACCTAATTATGAAAGTTTTCTATTAAAATTGGTTTTAATTATAGCTTCATCCATATATAAATTCATCAACTACATATCTGTTATAAACTCATTATACAACAATTTTTGTTCATTCTTGTTACACATGTTTATAATTCTCTTGGATTTCAAATTAAATTAATTCAGCAACATCATCTTTTATTTCTTCTTATTAATTTATTCCTATTCTATTTGTGATTTCCTGTTTTCTGATGCCACAGAAGGTAAATTGCTCTAAGTTCTATATCTTGATTTAGGATTGGGATATAATTATTTCGATATATTGAATAATTATTACTCAAATATAGAACTTATTTTTTTCTTTTATGCCTTGATTTGATATATATAATTTAATTAATCTTCTTTTATATTCTGATTGTGCTTCATTTTAGCTTCATTTATTTTTGATTTTATAAATTCATTAGCTTATTGTTTAAATGCTAAATAAATATCTTCTTCTAATAATTCAGTAGAATTCAAATCAATTCCATACTGTAAAACAATCTTATAAAGCTCCTTATCATAATCTATTTAATTAATCTTTTACTACTCAACCTATATTCCACAGTTTCCATCTCCTGTTTGAGTTCTACATTTTATTGATTTTCCAATTTTCTAATTCCAATTATCTATCTCTTATTTCTCTTTCTTTATTTATTCTATATGATCTTCAACATAAAAATAAAATAGATTTTAATCATACTAAGATTTTGTAACTTAATCTCTATTTGACTTTTATTCACAAGAACTTTAATATTAACTAATTGTTCTAATATTAAAGTTATATAATCTCTCCTTAGATAATACCTTAGATTTATTGGTTGGTACCTTTACCAAACCTAAATCTAAAAAAAAATCACTATCTAAAAATGCTTTATCAAATTCTGTTTCAAATTTTACTTCAAATTATTCATGCATCTTTTTTAACTCTACTTCTTGCTAATCCAATTATCGAGCTATTTTCCTTCTTTTTAGATAATTCTTTACTGACTCTAATAAATCTCTATTATTTAATATATTCAGTTTCTTTAATTATGCTTTTGTATCAATAAAAGTATCAAGTATCTTAAATTATTGCAATTAACGATTAAGTCTTATTTACTATGAATACTTTACTTAATATCATGTGTATTATTTATTTATTTTGATTAAGCTTTAACTTTGTTTACTAACTTTCTTACTCTGTCTGTACTACAGCTATTTTGTAAATTATACGATATTTTTATATTCTGTTATGATGAAATATTTGCGAAAGTATCATTTAATTATTAGAATTTCAAATTTATTGTCATTAAGTTTATGCCTTATAAATTTAATTTTTCATATTAAACATTTTAATAAATTTTATATATTGAATTATAATAAATGTATAATAGCATTCTATAAATTTAATGAGCCTTTTTTTAGATAGTGAAGGATTATTTGGAATAAAAATATTATTTTCTTATACTCAATAATATTTATTTAACTTTTTGGGTATTTATATTTTCAATTATTTAATCGCGAATAAACTTTGTTAAATACATTTTAAACTTAAAATGATTTAATAGCAAATTATAAAGACATTCAGAGTTAATTGAAACAAATAATTGAAATAGTTAATATAAAGTTAGAATCAGATATTACTATATTAACAGATTTGGATTAACTGCTAAAAATGGATCGTATATGTATTTAGGATTATTCTTAATAAATAAATTAATTTATTAATTTGATAAAAGAATAGAAAAAGATGATGAAAATGCTTAGGAAATAATTTCACTAATAATGGAAAAAAAGAAATAAATTTATATAATATTGTTAAATCTGAGGAAGCATTAAATTTATTTGAATAATCAATAAAATATGATCATATATTAGTTTAAGTGTATTATTTAAAGGGTAAATATGTGTAAGTTTAAAGTTTGGCAAGATGTTATTAATGATAAGATGGAAATAGTATGTTTAACGAGGTTGAATCACTATTAAGATGCCATCAAATACTATAATCTAGCATTTATGATCAATTCGAAATATAGAGAAGCTTTTAATACCTAAGACAAAAGCGTTTTTAAATACTTATTTTAATTAGGGATTGTATTTGATTTAATTGAATATCAACATATATTAGTTGAATTGTTATTAAGTTGCAATTGAATGTTATGATTAAGCAATTAAAATCAATCAGAAAGATAACTGAACAACAATTCTAGAACATGCAAGTTATTTGCTTAAAATAAAGCAGATAGAATTTAAATAGCATAATAATAAATACTAATAATTATTTTAAATTCTTAAGAATTTTTTTTAAATAATAGTAGAATTAGTGAGAATTTTCTACAGCTTTTGAAATGTACTTATCATTATTCTTGGAATATATATTATTTTCTACGGATTAGATTAATCTGTAGTATAAGTTTTATTAATATCTGAAGTTATAAATAAATATAAGGAGCAGTATATTTTAAAAAAATATTTTTTTTAATTTAATGAAGAGAGTTGCCATTCAAAAAATATTATTAAAGTAATTATAAAATTTCATTTTGAATATCATTATGTATATTTTTAACAATTATTTTATCATCATCAATTTCTGTAATTCATAATTAATTGTAATAATCATGTGC